TATATTAACTAGTTATATTTTTGCGGCCTGCTGGAAGCCGTTAAGGAGTTACTCTGCGCTGGGTTCCGCTCCGGTTGATGATCGTATTTTCTTGTCTCTTCTCTTCTCTCTCATCAAATACCCCGGAGTGCCGTCTCTCTTTGCCCGCGCAGACCGGTCAAGCCCAGCTACAGTGCTTGAATCCGCAAACGCTTCTCCCTGACGACGATACGACAACGGCTGCTACCGCCCTCTATAATCGTACGCCGTACGCCTCACGAAAACACATCCAAAGGGACATATCTGCTGGACAAAGCCTTACCATTACCGCCGGACTACGAAGCTGCCTACTCTACTCCTTTTATACGCCCGCATATCCCTCACTGGCGGTCAGGCCCTTACCCCGGACTACCGCCATCCCTTAAACGTCTACCACTGGGTTTAGCTGGGCTTCCACAGACAAAATGGGTGGATCACTGTCTAAGCTTGTATCCGGCTGGTTGTGGACAAAGAAGGAGATCAGGATTTTGATACTGGGACTCGTAAGGATGGCCATAAGCCCCTGTAGCGTTTATTGCCAGAAGGACTTTTCCGATATGGATGCTAACTGATCCTCCTGGACTATAGGATAATGCTGGCAAAACAACTCTCCTTTACCGGCTAAAAGTGCGAATCCTCCCCATCTAAATCGTCATATAGATAGCTCCGGCAATCCGTGAATAAAGTAGAGAGAAGCTTACATTCTTTTGTCGACATGATATAGATCGGAGAGGTCGTTACTACAATACCTACCATTGGATTCAACGTCGAGTCCGTCACATATAAAAATCTTAACTTTAACGTTTGGGTGAGTACCCCTTAGCATTTTGTCAGCGTAGCATAACCCCCGAGAATGCTGGTACCAGCAGTGTCTAACAGGTCCGTGTGGATAGGATCTTGGAGGCCAAACGTCGATACGGCCTTATTGGAGATGCTACTACGCCAACACTGCAGCCGTAATATTCGTCATCGACTCAACAGATATTGAACGACTGGGCACGGCATCAGACGAGCTAGCTGCGATGCTCAACGAGGAAGAGCTACGGGAGGCAGCACTGCTGGTCTTTGCAAACAAGCAGGACCAGCCTGGTGCCAAGGGAGCCGGTGAGATATCAGAGGCCCTGAAGCTAGGGGAACTAAGGGATCGAAACTGGAGTATAGTGGCGTGTTCTGCCATAGATGGCAAGGGTATCAACGAGGGAATGGACTGGCTTGTGGTAAGTAACAGTTTCGCTTATACCGACGCAGTTGCTAACGGTTGTCCTTGATATAGCAAACCGTGCAGTCGGAAAATGCATGAATGATTACGAAGGGAGCATCTTTTATTTTGTGATTAGAATGTACCACTTGACTATATCTCTATGAACAGTCTATATACATACATATCACCGTCTTTTTTCTCTCGCTTAGTTCTTACAACTCTTCATGTTCCCCCTACCTCTTACCCCTGAGCCAATAATAACATTTGACTAGGATAGCTCCAACATTCAACACAGCTTACAAAATTATAAGAACCGACAACGACAGTGGGAGAGACCCAACCCAACCAACGGCTCTGGTCCATGATGATGGCGATAACAAAAAGACAAAAAAAGAATGGGCCCGAGCCGCGATTCGAACGCGGGACCTCTCGCATATAAGTTACTTAGGGTTAAGGCCCTAAGCGAGAATCATAGCCAACTAGACCACCCGGGCTTGGAGGACAAAGTCGTCCATTTCTGCTCTTTCGGGGAGAGGGTAAATGTGCATTGGGAATATTGAAGACGATTGGATAGTTTGGTCAGGGAGGACAGACGGCAAGTGTGGATATGAGGGCTGGGAAAGAGAAGAATTGGCAGTCATTATTAAAGAAAAAATATCAATTATTATGTTAATACAGTCTAGAGAATAAGGGCAAGTCAAGAAGAGTAAGAGAATAGAGCAGAAGAATAGGGGAAAAAAGGGAAATCAAATTAGGGACAAGAATGCAAAAGACTTCAGAAGACTGGCTGACAACTGCAATATACGACTACTGTAAGCCTATTCATACAAGGGATGGCCACCCTCCCCGTTAAACACAATATTGAACAAGGGCACCTAGGACCCAGGTATCCATCCATTCCAAACCCAGAGGGGACATTAATACGCAACCGACTGTACAGAAAAGAAAAAAAAAAAACAAAAAACAAATCCTTTAGATCGTCATCATGGATGCACCGACGAAGGTGGACAGGCCGATAGCGGCAAGAACCACGACAAATCCAGGAGCACGGAGGCCAGCAGCAGCATCGGGGGTGCCGTTTTTGCCTCCGGAGCCTGGGGAACCAGAGCCAGAGTTGCCGTTACCGCTGGTGTCGGGACCTTCAGCCTTGGATCCAGAGGACTGACTGCCGGGGCCCTTGAGACCTGGGCCATCACCGGCACCGTTCTTCACGTACTTCTCGGCATCACTTGGGAGCTGGGGGACTTTCTTCTCGCCGTCAACATTCCAGGCGGGCTCTTCCTTGGTTGGACACTTGCTAGAGCCACCCTTCTGGTTATAGCCGCCGTCACCAGAGGGGTTCTTGATCTTAGCGAACATGGACTTGAGAGCGTTGTAGTCGGAAAGCTTAGAAGGAGCAGAGCTTGCACCGCCCTTGATCTCAACAAGACCGTAGTTGCTGGGTTCCTGGGAGTATTCGTAGACGAGTCCACCAGAGTAGACGCCGGTCATCTCTTCGGAGTAGAGGGCCTCGACCTCGCTGAAGTCACGCTTGTTGATGTTGCAACCGTATTCAGACAAGAAGATGGGGATACCATAGTCTTTGAATTTCTTGACTTTCTGGTCCCAGCCGGAGGTCTCGAAAGAGGATGGAGAGCACCAGGAGTAGTCGTTGAAGGCAAAGAAGTCAGAACGCTCGTCATCATCACCACAGTTCATGTAGTGGGCAGTTTGCTCGCGGTTGGAGTCGACATCAGCCTGAAAATTGTTAGTTCTCCAGTCCTATCTTCTGGAATGAGGAAATAGGCGACATACAGCAGAGTATCCAACTGGAACTTTTCTAAGATTGCGCTCCTTGATGAACTGACGGATGTCACGGGTAACAGCCTTGACCCAAGGAGCAACGGCGGAAGTCTTGCCATCGTTGATGACCTCGTTTCCAGAGAAAAAGGCCAAGGTGTTGTCGTACTTGGCGAACATCTGGACGGTAGCAAAGATGCTCTGGAGGTAGACAGCATTGTAGGAGATTTCGGGATCTAAACAGGTCAGTTAGCAACTGGCATTTTGACATTCTTTGAATTGTGGAATAACTGAGGAAGCGTACCAGCACGGTTGATGGAGTACTTGGGAGTGTTGACGTCGAGAACGAGGTAGATGCCAGCATCGGCGAGGAGCTTCATGCACTCGTCATGGTTCTTGGTGTTATCGATGGTGTAGACACGGATGGTGTTGAGGCCAAGTTCCTTGAAGTACTTGATGTCTCGCTTGCAGAGGTCGACGTCGGCAATGGGGTCGACGACTTTGGAGGAACCACCCTGTTGAGTGTTAGCCGTCATGTTCAATGTTACTGCTGTTGATATTTCTTATCACGTACTGGCTGGTAGTCACTGTCAACATCAACCCGTTAGCATCCTCGCTTCATAAAGGTACAGATAATATAGCATATATAGGGCAGCAAGTTCTTACACTCCACGGATATAGAAACGCTCGTTTCCCTTGAAGAAGGCTGCCAACTGTATTAGCCTCCCCGTTTGTCTTTGTTGTGTATGTCTGGTCCCAGCCTACCGTTTCCCTTGATCGTGATGGGAGTGACCGAGCCAGCGAGGGCAGAAGCGGCCCCGAAGGCAACGGTCAAGGCAGCAATAGCGCCCTTCATCGTGAAATCAAGTTGAAGTCTAGAAAGAAGCCGAAAACTAAATAGCCGCAGTACGCTTGAGTCCGGAGCAAAGGGAGGAGGAAAACGCGGGCGGTTAACGAGTGACGGGCCCGGGAGTGGGAAAGAGACGCCTTGAAACGAGCGTGTATCTTGCTTTCCCGTTGATTAAAGAAGGGGTCAGCGAGCGAGTGAACGAAGGTAAAGAGGGAGAAGACGAAGAAGAAGAAGAAGAAGAAGAAGAGAAAGTTGACAGAAGAAGAACCGCACGAAGTGAGATGGCCGTCCTCGCTCAGTATAAAAAGTCCTTGGAATCAGCCCTCGATGTTTTACTTTTTCTGCTCCACCGCAGCGCAAGCCGCGTAAGAAAGGACGATGCAAGGCGGGTCAGGGGCTTGGGGGCGGCGGTACTTGAGTTTGCTAGCCAGGCTGCGCTGTGCAGCAGGTCACTCGTACGGCTGCTGGAGACTGGGACCGTCAAGGCCTTGTCCTTGACTCAGAGTGAGTGACTGGCTGGTCGAAGCCCTTGTCCATGCAGCGTAAGTACGGTGGCGGTGGCACGATGCCAGAGGAAAGAAAATAGTTAGCTTGTCCAGTCACTCTCGTCTGTCTCCATCAAGGACGATCTGAGGGAGAGAGACGGCATCGACCGCGCCCCCTGATGATCTTAATAATCCATGCGCAAGGGAGTGGTTGCTCTCCTTGCTTCTGCGCTGTGCTTCTCTCCACCCTGTTTCATGCTGCGATGAAGCTGCACATCTCTTGGCCGGCGTCATCGTCAAGCCATCGTCCAGTCATCCTCTCCTCTCAGGGGAACCACAGAGACAGCGTCAGGTCGAAGGGGGAAGGGGGGGAAGTTGAGTGTTGGTGTGCACCAGCAGCGATGGGCTGAGTGAGAAGAGTTGCATAATCCAACAAATATACATGCATGAGGATGATAAAAACAGGAGAACAAGGCAGATCCAACCATCTACAAGCCCAAGTAGCATTTGCAACATGCTATATACATGCATTGAAGAAGAGACATGCCTGACAAATCATGCGTCTTCGATGTAATTTGCTGGCACACATTTGGTCAGGCCCCCCTTCTCGACGTCCGCCCAGCCGTTGCCGCTGTCTCGATTGACCAGCACGAACCGGTCGCCTTCAGACATGCTCCATTCAGCGTCGGTGCGTGCCTCGTAGTCGTACATGGCTACTACATACTGCAGCTTCTTTGCTCCTCGTTTGGGGGCCACCGCGGGACCGCGTCGTTTTCCGGCGCTTGCTGGGTTGGTGCTGCTCGCCAATGAAGCGCTGGAGGCAGAATACGTTGACTCTGGACGGCCGTCGTTGTCGTTGTCGTTGGGGTTGGGCGATGCCGCGGGCGTTGGTGATAGTTCGACATAGGATGCTGGGACTAGGCCGGTTTGCCCGTTGGCTCTCACTCGCATCCAGCCAGAGCCATCTAACTCTCCTGTTAGTTGACATCAATATAGAAGCAAAGTAATGCAAGCAAAGAAAGGAGTACCATCTGGTTCGACGACAACGACATCTTGTCCCTCGTCTACTGTTATCTCATCTTCCCCGTTGGCCTGATATGCATACATCATCTTCCCGCCTGGCTCGGCAGAGTTTTCCTTGGTGTTGTTAGCAGATGGTGCAGGCGGTGCGCTCACATATTGCGCTGGAGGGGGGGCTAATATCCTGTTCTTCCTTGGAGCAGCCACGGCCGGTTTCTTTGCGGCGGCGGCGGCAGCAGCAGTGGAAGCAGCACCAGTAGAGTCTGGCAGCTCAGCTATCGCCGGCGATGTTGAAGCCGACCCACCATTGGCAGGCTGGCTGATAGACAACGCAGAAGTAGATTTGTTAATGGCATTGGACGAGTACCCTGAACTCAATGAGTTCATGGTATCTCGTCTCGATAAGGCTGGTAGCTCAGCGGTGCTCGGAGTTGAAATGCGCGGACTGATGTCCGGCAGTGTTGATGGAGCCGCATTGGCCTGCTCCTGTCTCTCAGCCTTCAGCTTCTTCCGCTCCTCCTTTGTCTGTTCGCCGGGACATTCGGCGGGCACTTTCATCTCGCACTTGTTATGGCATGTATAGCCACAATCTCGACAGTCGAACCCCTTGGCCGAGAGGCCCCAGATTCTCTCACCGCACAGGTCACAGTTAGTAGGAATCTTAAAGGTTTGGGCCCGGAAGTTATGGTTCTTTGCTCCCAATGACAGGTCACCTACTACGGAGGAGACAGTTGATACTTCGATCTCGCCTGTCAGTCGTTTTCGGTCAAGTAAATGGAGGTCTTCCTGCAAGGCAAACATAGCTCGAACGATCTCGACCTCGTCACGCTTATCGGTGCCATCGCGGATACTCTGCCGGACCTGCTTTGCATTCTCGACTTCCCGTCTCTTCTTCTCTGCTTCAGCCTTCAGCTCTTTCATCTGGCTCTTGCTCTTGCTCTGCAAGTTGCGGAGGAACACCTTGGCTGGCTCATCAATGACCATGGTGGGCTCATCGTGCCAGACAGGGCTGGGTTCAAACTGCATGTCTAGCGGCTCCTGCCAGTGAGCTGTATTGTGGCGCATGAACATCATCGAATCCAGTCGGGGTTCATTGCGTGGGATCTCGGACAGAATATGTGAGACTTGTTCGTTACCCTGGGCTAATGTAGCCTTCTCCAGCTCTGCGGCCAAGGTCCAAATGGCATTCAGTTTGTTCACCCTCGTTTCGTTCAAGTCCTGTAGGCCCTATACTGGCATTAGCAGAAGTAATCAGTCTGAACTCGAGCCACGGCTTACATTAAGCAATTCTGGTACATATTCATGGTAATATTTCTCCTTTAGTTTATTCGTGACATTTATAGCAATTAGATACGTATTC